CGATTATTTGGGGCCCCCCCGGTTCTTCAGTCTTGAATCAGTTTGGTGCACTCCCTGTCATTCAGTCAAGATATCCATCGGCTTACTGCCAACCGTGCACTGTAACGACACATGATCGCGGCAGCGTGAAGCTGATCTGCTGCAAGTCATTGCTGCTGCTACACTTGAGAGCCTGTGCGTTGAAGCTATTTTCTTCTCACCTATTCAGCTCCAGTTTCGAGCTCACCTGGACGCAGAAGATTGCTAAGACTGCCAGTGGACATTTTCCACACTTGGCAAATTTGGCCAAGAGGAAGTACCTTGTAATTCGGTAACAGGCGCCTCAATTTTGTGACAGCACCTAGAGAGCAACTGTTTTCAATTGGAACCGAATTCCCCCACTGGAACTGGCACATTGCAATGATTTCATACTGGGGATGGAAGCAGGTCCGGCCTGCGCAGCAGAGCTTGCACGTTGTTTTTTGATGTCAACGGACTCTTCCATTGCTGTTCAAGCGGCTTGGATTGTTGTTGCCAAAAGACATGATATTTTTTCTTTGTGCGTTGTTTGTGAACATTCGAGAAGTCATGGCGTTGACGATTTAGTGTTACTCTGCGCCTCCCGCAAAGTCAAAACTCTCAGCGGCCCTGCAAGAGATTCAGAGTGACAGCAAGCAAAGCAGGCAAGCAATTTCCGTTGGAATCCCCAAAAGGCAGCCAGGTCTCCATTTCACGTGGCTTATTGCAACAACAAGGCCCGGATTTAGGGGCTCAAAACTTTCAAAATAAAGTCTTGCCATGGTTTAGAAAGATTCGAACCCTTGAATCCACTCATCTCTGATCCAGATTTTTTTGGCAATCTTTTTGTGTTTTCGTTTTTCATTGATTGCACAACGTGGAAAATGGTTCTTGCTTCCTGCACGCTGCTCGCTCGTGGCCTCTGGTAAGGCGGCGCAACGTTCGACCTGCTATTCCTTCGGATCATTCTAGACTCTCCTGGATTATCACCGATGTCGTTTTAGCTTGGCCTACCACGGCCTTCCAGTTTCTAACGCCACGCTCCGCCACCACGCTAAACCTAGAAAGCCGACGGGCGCTTGATCACAGCGGTACGGCCGAGAAAACGGCCTCGCTCTTTTGCTCTTCTGGTGAGCGCTGGTCAAGCAATGCGAACAAGAACGAGTCCGGCTCCACTGCCATGCTTCCGGAACTTGCTTCGGCAGAATGGTCAGAGTTGTTTTTTGTCGGCTTTGAATTTGAAATTCTTATTGTTTGTTGCTGTGATTTGACTAGAAATTGCTGCAGCAGAAGACCTTCCTTGTAATTTTTTCTCTCCCACGGAGGTCTAGCCAGGCTCTCAGACCAAAAACGTTTTTTGGGCAAAAGGCCAAAGGGAGCATCGGGAAGGATTTTGCGGCAAAGCTAGTGGATCCAACATAGTGACATAGTGTTGTGTCTGCATTCTTGCCAGTTTATTGTCGACGGCTCTTCCTCCCTTTCAGAAGAAGGAGGATACCAGAGGACCAGGGCAACGGCAGAATGAGAGACCAGACAGAGAAGGGACCAAAACACCGTCTGTGTAATTCTGCTGTACATGCGATGATTTTGGCATGTTTTGACTTGCTTTGAGTTGGCCATCATGATGAGCACCAGTACACCCGAGATGCCTTTGAGCATCCTGAAGAGGTGCGTGTTGCTCTGAACAAGTGTGTTGCAGCTTCGCAGCTGTTTCGCCGACTCTTGCTTCGCTCGTCTCGGGAAAGCGCAATTGGAGCAGAGTGGCTGTACATTGCCTGTTTGTTTTCAGTTGGCACAGAAGTCCTGAGAAGCACACGGCTGGTATCATCCCTTCCGAGTTAAATCCTGCTGATGCTCCATCCGCGGAAAGAGTGGAAGGAAAAGAGCAGGATGTGAAAAGGCAGTTTTCTCCCAGTTTCACTCCCGAGTTTTGAGGCTTGAACTCGAAGCTGTTCTGTGGAATGAGGACGCGAGCTGTGCCTCCTCGCGTAAGCTCGGTCACGAGCGGCTTTTCCCCCTGAAGCATGCTTGAGAACGCTAAGATAAACCATGACAACCTTCTGCGAGATTCGCTGCCAGGGCGGGGTGTTTGGACTTTTCTTGCAAATGCAATTGTCTTGCAGTCAGCATCTACATCAGGAATAGCCAGCAGTGGCCAGCTGTCAAAAGAACTCCGACTTCTGCTCTTTCACGGTGGCAAGTGACAGTGAGCCTACATGCCAACAATGACAGGATATTGTTGCAGGGGCGTGCCAAACAAGTGATTCAAGACTGAAGAATCACATGTGCAGGACACTGGCATGCGCAGCTGTTGAACGTCCTGTCATTGTCATGCCGAGATGTTTGGTTCCATCGTAAGCTGCCAATAATCTTTTTGTGCAATGCGGAGTTTTCGAGCTCTCCCATCCCGCCCACCCGGGCTTTTCGTGCAGACTGCAATTGTCTTGCAGCCAGCAGCTACATCAGGAATCCAGTCGTGGACTTCGTATCTCTAGCCAGCAGTGGCCAGCTGTCAAAAGAACTCCGACTTCTGCTCTTTCACGGTGGCAAGTGACAGTGAGCCTACATGCCAACAATGTTTTGTTTACGATCATTGATGTGATCATGTTTCGGTGGAAATTCTCGCAATCATTATGATTGTACATGTCGAGTTTTGCAATAGAGAATAAGTGCATCCTCCCGGAGGGATGATCACTTT